AACACTACCTATATAAATACGCCTCTCGCCTTCAAACCACCAAGCAGCAATCAGCACCGCCCAAGGGCTTTGACAAAACCACTGTTCCGAGTGGTTCACAACCCAGCAGGGAAAAAAAAAAAAAAAAAAAACCGAAAAGAGTTCCTACAATATTCTTAAGCTGCTAGGGATGGCGACTGGATTCGACAGTGCTCATGAGAGGAAGAAGAAGCTCGCAGTTTTGAGCGTCTCTTCTGTCCTCCTGATCGCGATGGTTGCCGCGGTGGCCGTTGGCATAAATGACGACGTCCATGGCGACCACACGGAAGAAGGCGACGGCAGCATCGCGAAATCTCAGAGGAGCGCCAACATGATATGTCAGTCGGCCGAATACAAAGAAACCTGCCAGAAGAGTCTCGCCAATGCTTCCCACGATAACACCGACCTGAAGCAACTTATCATCACCGCCTTCAACGCCACCTCTCGGGAGATTCACAGCAAAATTGAAAACTCAACGCTGTACCACGAGTTGGCCACCGACAACATGACCAAACAGGCCATGGAAATTTGCAAGGAAGTACTAGGTTACGCTGTGGATGATATAAACGAATCCGCTGCGACTTTGGAAAAGTTTGAGCTGAGCAAGATGAACGATTACGCCTATGACCTCAAGGTTTGGATCTCGGGTACCCTTGCCCACCAGCAAACATGCCTGGACGGGTTCGAGAACACGACCACCGAAGCTGGGAAGACAATGGCTAAGGTTCTGAACACGTCGTTGGAAATGAGCAGAAACGCGTTGGACATAGTGAACGGTGTGTCGTCTCTCTTCAAGGGTCTCAACTTGACCTCCTTCGGCTCCAGCAGCCACAGGAAGCTTCTCGCGGAAGAGACTTTGGTTGATGGGTTCCCATCGTGGGTGAGTGAAGGGCAGAGAAAAATTCTGGAATCTACTGATATCACCCCAAATGTAGTGGTGGCTCAGGATGGGAGTGGACAGGTGACCACAATCCACGAGGCTCTCAAACTGGTGCCTAAGAAGAACAAGACGCCTTTTGTGATTTACGTCAAGGCCGGTGTCTACAAGGAGTACGTTAACTTGAACAAGCACATGTCCTTTGTCACCATGATCGGCGATGGCCCCACCCTCACCAGAATCACCGGCGATAAAAACTACGTCGATGGCTTCCAAACCTACAACACCGCAACCGTCGGTAAGTACCCGCCAAATCAACTAATTAAATTTTTCCATTTTTTGAGGGTCAAACATCTGTGATGCATATGCATGCATGGGGTTCAAACGAATGAATGAACTAACAATGGTGAGTTGGCAGGTGTGAACGCTGCAAACTTCATGGCGAAGAACATTGGGTTCGAGAACACGGCAGGAGCGGAGAAGCACCAAGCTGTGGCTCTGAGGGTAACAGCTGACAAGGCAGTGTTCTACAACTGTCACATGGACGGCTACCAAGACACCCTCTACACCCAGTCCCAGCGCCAGTTTTACCGCGACTGCATTGTCACCGGCACCATCGACTTTGTCTTCGGGGACGCCGTCGCCGTTTTCCAGAACTGCAAGTTCATCGCGAGGAAGCCAATGGAGAACCAGCAGTGCATGGTGACCGCCGGCGGAAGGACCAAGATCGACAGCCCCAGCGCCCTGGTGTTCCAGAGCTGCATCTTCACCGGCGAGCCAGACCTGAAGGCCGTGACCCCGAAGATCGCGTACCTCGGGAGGCCCTGGAGGCTTTTCTCGAAGGTGGTGATAATGGACTCCGAAATCGACGACATATTCGCTCCCGAAGGGTACATGCCCTGGATGGGAAGCGCCTTCAAAGATACCTGCACCTACTACGAGTTCAACAACAGGGGTCCCGGTGCGGACACAACCGGAAGAATCACCTGGCCAGGGTTTAAGGTGATTACCCCTGTTGAGGCTGCCGATTACTACCCCGGGAAGTTCTTTGAGCTGGCTAACTCCACTGACCGTGACGCTTGGATCCTTGACTCTGGGGTACCCTATGCCCTTGGCCCTCTTCCAGCATCCACCGCCCAGCCCGCAGTTTAATTGATTTTTCACATTTTTTTAATCTATTCTACTCTCCCTGCATGCGTGCATGCTCGCTTCATCATGTTTTGTCTCCAACGCAGTCTTTAAGGAATCCTACTGCTCATTCACTGATTCCCACCTTCTCCTTTCTTACTACCACTCCCTCTTCTTCCTTCTTCACGCGATATTAATTTAATTAAATTAATCAACACTAGATAAAATTTATTAATCATTGTATACTAAGGTACCTAAGCCGGCCGAGCAGTTACCATGTGAATCATTGGATTGCTCTATTCACTAAGTTAGAAGCGCTAGCATATGCATCCAATAACGATCGATCTATCTTGGGCCAATTGGTCCAATATTTAACTAATTGGACCAATAGTCTAGCAGTAGAAGAAATAGTAAAAAATATTTGATTAAAGAGATTAACACTGAATTCGGGCACTGATTGGATTTTAAGGTAAATCTATTTTGTATTTTATTAAGGTTGAATATAAGAAAGAGGAGGAGGGTAAGGTACGTTCTATTGGATACTGGAAAATACCTTACTGTTATAATAAAATCATTTTCTTGAGAGCTGAGACTCACTTAAGCGTCTGAGTATTTTCGTAGCTACTCCTCTCTTGAAGTAGGCGTGTTGTACAAGCTCAAAGAGCGACCTCCAAAAAAGTGAGCAGGTGACATCAATTAAGGAGAAGCGACCATCCCAATCATTTAGAAGAAGCAAAGACACACCAGCAATGTCCAAATCTCGATTCCGAATATCTATACTGAAACAATTACTATTATATAAATTTTAAAATAATACTATCTCTGTATAAAAAAAGCAGGCCCAACTTCAAAAACCAATTCTACCCCATTATGGGTCTGGCCCAACAATGACTTCTTTTAACTTATCATGGACCACTTAGCAATAAATTAACCTAGCTGGTAGATTGATAACATCACCTGTTGGTATCCATTGCACTGGATTTCTAAGTTAAGGAAAAGGTTTTGGTTAGAAAATAAATATGTTTTACAGCAGAAAACGAAAATTACTTGTTGAAAAAAATGTTGACTCATTAATGTGGTTTTTGTACGGTTGAAAGAATATGCATGGCAATTGTTGGGTGAAGGTTTGGAAAGACTGTAGCTTTCTTAGGTCTTTTAGGTTGAAAAGACTATGCATGATGCCACAAAGTTGGACTTTATATTCGTACTTCACTGAAATTGTAATAAAAAAAAGTAAAATATGNTTCCCACGATAACACCGACCTGAAGCAACTTATCATCACCGCCTTCAACGCCACCTCTCGGGAGATTCACAGCAAAATTGAAAACTCAACGCTGTACCACGAGTTGGCCACCGACAACATGACCAAACAGGCCATGGAAATTTGCAAGGAAGTACTAGGTTACGCTGTGGATGATATAAACGAATCCGCTGCGACTTTGGAAAAGTTTGAGCTGAGCAAGATGAACGATTACGCCTATGACCTCAAGGTTTGGATCTCGGGTACCCTTGCCCACCAGCAAACATGCCTGGACGGGTTCGAGAACACGACCACCGAAGCTGGGAAGACAATGGCTAAGGTTCTGAACACGTCGTTGGAAATGAGCAGAAACGCGTTGGACATAGTGAACGGTGTGTCGTCTCTCTTCAAGGGTCTCAACTTGACCTCCTTCGGCTCCAGCAGCCACAGGAAGCTTCTCGCGGAAGAGACTTTGGTTGATGGGTTCCCATCGTGGGTGAGTGAAGGGCAGAGAAAAATTCTGGAATCTACTGATATCACCCCAAATGTAGTGGTGGCTCAGGATGGGAGTGGACAGGTGACCACAATCCACGAGGCTCTCAAACTGGTGCCTAAGAAGAACAAGACGCCTTTTGTGATTTACGTCAAGGCCGGTGTCTACAAGGAGTACGTTAACTTGAACAAGCACATGTCCTTTGTCACCATGATCGGCGATGGCCCCACCCTCACCAGAATCACCGGCGATAAAAACTACGTCGATGGCTTCCAAACCTACAACACCGCAACCGTCGGTAAGTACCCGCCAAATCAACTAATTAAATTTTTCCATTTTTTGAGGGTCAAACATCTGTGATGCATATGCACGCATGGGGTTCAAACGAATGAATGAACTAACAATGGTGAGTTGGCAGGTGTGAACGCTGCAAACTTCATGGCGAAGAACATTGGGTTCGAGAACACGGCAGGAGCGGAGAAGCACCAAGCTGTGGCTCTGAGGGTAACAGCTGACAAGGCAGTGTTCTACAACTGTCACATGGACGGCTACCAAGACACCCTCTACACCCAGTCCCAGCGCCAGTTTTACCGCGACTGCATTGTCACCGGCACCATCGACTTTGTCTTCGGGGACGCCGTCGCCGTTTTCCAGAACTGCAAGTTCATCGCGAGGAAGCCAATGGAGAACCAGCAGTGCATGGTGACCGCCGGCGGAAGGACCAAGATCGACAGCCCCAGCGCCCTGGTGTTCCAGAGCTGCATCTTCACCGGCGAGCCAGACCTGAAGGCCGTGACCCCGAAGATCGCGTACCTCGGGAGGCCCTGGAGGCTTTTCTCGAAGGTGGTGATAATGGACTCCGAAATCGACGACATATTCGCTCCCGAAGGGTACATGCCCTGGATGGGAAGCGCCTTCAAAGATACCTGCACCTACTACGAGTTCAACAACAGGGGTCCCGGTGCGGACACAACCGGAAGAATCACCTGGCCAGGGTTTAAGGTGATTACCCCTGTTGAGGCTGCCGATTACTACCCCGGGAAGTTCTTTGAGCTGGCTAACTCCACTGACCGTGACGCTTGGATCCTTGACTCTGGGGTACCCTATGCCCTTGGCCCTCTTCCAGCATCCACCGCCCAGCCCGCAGTTTAATTGATTTTTCACATTTTTTTAATCTATTCTACTCTCCCTGCATGCGTGCATGCTCGCTTCATCATGTTTTGTCTCCAACGCAGTCTTTAAGGAATCCTACTGCTCATTCACTGATTCCCACCTTCTCCTTTCTTACTACCACTCCCTCTTCTTCCTTCTTCACGCGATATTAATTTAATTAAATTAATCAACACTAGATAAAATTTATTAATCATTGTATACTAAGGTACCTAAGCCGGCCGAGCAGTTACCATGTGAATCATTGGATTGCTCTATTCACTAAGTTAGAAGCGCTAGCATATGCATCCAATAACGATCGATCTATCTTGGGCCAATTGGTCCAATATTTAACTAATTGGACCAATAGTCTAGCAGTAGAAGAAATAGTAAAAAATATTTGATTAAAGAGATTAACACTGAATTCGGGCACTGATTGGATTTTAAGGTAAATCTATTTTGTATTTTATTAAGGTTGAATATAAGAAAGAGGAGGAGGGTAAGGTACGTTCTATTGGATACTGGAAAATACCTTACTGTTATAATAAAATCATTTTCTTGAGAGCTGAGACTCACTTAAGCGTCGGAGTATTTTCGTAGCTACTCCTCTCTTGAAGTAGGCGTGTTGTACAAGCTCAAAGAGCGACCTCCAAAAAAGTGAGCAGGTGACATCAATTAAGGAGAAGCGACCATCCCAATCATTTAGAAGAAGCAAAGACACACCAGCAATGTCCAAATCTCGATTCCGAATATCTATACTGAAACAATTACTATTATATAAATTTTAAAATAATACTATCTCTGTATAAAAAAAGCAGGCCCAACTTCAAAAACCAATTCTACCCCATTATGGGTCTGGCCCAACAATGACTTCTTTTAACTTATCATGGACCACTTAGCAATAAATTAACCTAGCTGGTAGATTGATAACATCACCTGTTGGTATCCATTGCACTGGATTTCTAAGTTAAGGAAAAGGTTTTGGTTAGAAAATAAATATGTTTTACAGCAGAAAACGAAAATTACTTGTTGAAAAAAACGTTGACTCATTAATGTGGTTTTTGTACGGTTGAAAGAATATGCATGGCAATTGTTGGGTGAAGGTTTGGAAAGACTGTAGCTTTCTTAGGTCTTTTAGGTTGAAAAGACTATGCATGATGCCACAAAGTTGGACTTTATATTCGTACTTCACTGAAATTGTAATAAAAAAAAGTAAAATATGTAATTATTTTTCAAATGTGTTCTTCAAAATGTTTTTTCTTTCTTAAAATTTCCAGGAAATGTGCATTTTCCTATTTTTGTTTCTCGACTATTCGAATAATAATCTATTTCATCGTACAAGTACAACTTTGATGGGAATTAACTGTTACGTGATTAAAATAAACGTTAATTACATCCAAAGTGTAAAAATAAACTGCCAAATTTATAACGGTTTCATTACTATTTTAATAAAACAAGCATTTAAATAAAGAAACTGATACATTAATACAATTTTTTATAACTATTTTTTTTATTGAGTTTGAAATGATGAGAAAATGAAATGTATACTGTATTAAAATATTGACAAAAAATCTATATTAAAATATATGTTTCTTTAAATAAAATAACATTTAATTGTCATATTTTTTTTAAAACAAATTTAACATCTTCTTTTTTAATACTATAATATTATATTTAAGCAAACAATATAAATAAAATTTTGAAATAAAATAATAGTATACATAATATATATGATTATTAGATGGTTGTATGAAATATACAAGTTTTCAACATATCATAATCGATGTCACGTAACATTTAATAGCTTTTTACCTAAAAAAATCCTTTAAATAGGATTGAATTTTTGTTTACTCTATTCAAATATTGAGTACAAATAAGTTGAGTAATTTTATATTAGTGGATGGAAACAATTTGAGAGTTAACAATTTCTAAAGTCACATAATTAGAATTTAATTTTAATAGCAAACCATTTAGTTAAGAAATACAAGTTAATATGCCAATGTATTTTTTTTTTAATGTTAAATAAGTTTTTCTGGAAGTATTTTATAACGAGGAAACAAAGGAAAGACAAAAATCGTAAACATATGGAAAAACAAGACTGACAAAGGGTTCAGTGTGAAAACAGTTTGTTAGGTATCCTTATTGTAATGGGAAATCATAAACTTTTTTCCAAGTTAGTTTAAGATGTTCTTTTTTGTTTTCAGTTTCTATCAGTATCTTAAATTTAAAATCGTAAGATCTTTATCTTATAATCCTGGAAAAAAAAATCTTAAATTTA